ATAATGTGACGGTCTAACACCACTATTCGTTAGGTAAAAGAGTACGACCAAGAGGTTGGCGGTGGGTGGGTGATGACTAGCTCGCCTTCCCTCTAGTCTTACACTGCTAAATTAGGGACGGCTAGCGCAGATAGCCCTCGTGTAGCTTTGCGCGAAATTCCAAAACAAACAAACAATACATACAGTCTGTTGTGAAGCTTTTCCTTCTTACTGCTATTTGAACTATAGAGCAAACATGTTTCATTTTCCAATTTTTTGTATGCAAGTTTGTTTGCTTATTTAGTATTTACATATGTTTTTCTTTTTTGATGGAAACATAACAAATGAATCACACACACACACACACACATGTATATATTAAATTATATTAAACTAGGTTTCATTTTGCTCCCTTTATGTAGTAATGATTAATTTTAGTTACCGTTTGATTATGCTGTTTGATCTTGTAACCTTTTTAATGAAAAGTTTTTGAATCGTAATTGAATAAGAAACTGATTCATAAATTGTACATAGACACGTATATGTAGTAGCAATGTTTGTACAATATGAAATTTTTATCAAGTCGGAGAAATGACTCATAGTAATTGTACAAATTTTTATATTTATTCAAACTGTTTCTAAATGATACTAACAATAAGTCCTTAATAGACATTTTAAAGCTTTTCTTTATCATCTGATACCACAGCAGTTACTGTGTTTGTATATGATTCATTTATTAATCATGTGCTCTAAGGATTTAAAGGTATGTTGAATAAGGGTGAGCTATTGTGACGTCTTAATATCATAAAACGTCACTACAGACTTCCATTTCCTATTGGTAGAAGTTGGCGGGTTTCCTGCCATGACATCATTAAGTTGTAATTTGCTCTGATTGGTTATACTTAGTCACATGCTTATACTGGGGGCGCCATTTTCATATCGGTTTAGCCTACAGGTTGCCGTTGAATTTTTCTGCATAGGAAATACGTTGTGCGTGATTGCAGGACGGAGTTAAATTTTTGAAGATTCTGTGTGCACCATTGAAGCCAAGGTATTGTGTGGCACATAACAATTTAGAATAAGTATTCATTTGTTATGGCGTCAAGGTCTCTTACTTCGCTTTTCTTATGTGAAGACATACCATCGCCAACTCTCAACATGTTGAACGACATTGCTGATCCAGATGTGTTTGAACAAGAAATAGGCCTAGTTCAAAAGCTTGACTTTGACTCGACGAACAGTGACCTGGAAAATTCTCCGTGCAGTCGTAAGTCAAATATTTTAGATACAAGCGGGTGTTTTACTATATCTGTTGGAACTGATGTTGAACTTGAAGAAGACAATTTTGACTTATCTGCTGATTCTTTGCGCGAAAATTATCATGAACGTCGAGGAAACTTTGTTACTGCAGACATTTCACCGGTAGACTTAAAGTTAAACGTCTCTTCTACTTCTAGAAATACATTTGGAAGGCCGCCACATAACGTCTCAACCCCTGATGTAATGTCTAGCAGTGCCAACGCAAAAACAAAAGTAAACACTGATGATACTCCTCCTTATAAACGCGTTCGTGCGTTGAGATTGTTCGAATCACCGCAAACACCAAAAACATTATTAAAGAGAGCAGAACTTCCTAGCAGTACAGAAACAAGAAATTGTATCCGAAGCCGATTATGGACAGATTCCAAGGTAACAAATAACAATTTAGTTTTTCCAGGGTCATCTTTCGAAAGAACGAATAGTAATGTTGGAATTTCAGCAGAGTCAAAGAAAAATCATTCTGGAAAATCTCGAATTCCTGCAGCGAACATTAATCCGTTTACACCAACTGGAATGATGTTAGAAGCAAGGGCGAAAAAAAGGAGAAAAAGCAGCAGTTACAGCATGAATGAGTAAGATCTTGAGTTTATTTTTAAGTATCAATTCTGTGACTGAAATTTGATGGTGTCCAAATGATGTTTTAGTGCATTTTAATCATTATGTGTTTTGTTTATTTATTTATATTTATATTGATTTTTGGCATTTAACGTTTTACGAAGTTTAGGTTTTAAGTTTAACTAATGAATTTGTGGCATAGATTTGATCAGATTAGTTTAGAAGTTACTTTTGACCAGACTCATTATTAGTATATAGTTATAAGTAACAATGAAGTATAATCAAACATATGTAAACCTTACTATAGTAACTAATGTCAAGTTTATTACTACTAGTTATCCTACTATTGCCAAGTGTTGTAGCTAATGACAGTAATGTTAACTCTACTAATAATAATGCTATTAGTATTACTGCTTACATTTACTTTCATAATTAAATAAGCTTGGGCCATGGGCTTTATTTTTTTGGTTTAAACATTGGGTTACGTGATAGCCAGTCTTAATATATTGAATTATTACTTAGTTTTTGGGAAAAACAAATTTACTTTGTATAAGTCTGATCGCTTGATTTATTTTATTTGCTTGTTGTGACAAATAATTCACTGATCATTCAGTAAAAATTATAACAGCGAAGCATATCAAGTCAAATGCTAACTTTATAATTACAGTGACTTTAAAAGGGACATTATTTTTCAACATAACTTTTCCATAAATTGTTTATGCAGATGTGCATACAAAGAAAGTCACTGAGTTAAAAGAGGAAAATAATTTGCTTCATGTAATTGTTTTCATTATGTGTGTGTGTGTGTGTGTGTGGAAGCTGATGATCTGGGAGCTTTAATTAGAAGATTTATGGAAAAGTGCCTTTATAAATAGAAACTTATAAGATATGATTTAGTGGTAGTTTCAAGTTAAAGTGCTGACTTGTGTCATCATAAGAAACCAAGCATAATTTGTTTTAATGGAGTTATACTGTAGTTAAAATTCTGTATAAGTTTAATTGAATTGTGCACATTTGAAGCAGAAATATTTTTACATGAAATATACATTCATGTGTTAAAGATAACCACTTAAACTTTAGGCCTAATACAAACAACTCAAATTGTTATTTTGTTTGTCAATCTAAGAACGTATACAGGACCAGTGAAAATATAAATACCAAAAGGTAAAGTGGTGTTTCTTCCATGTTAACCTACTTTTTTTAGAATGTATTTATTTATTTGCTGCATCATCTAATTTTGACTGTTATCATATGTTTTTGTTTTCATTCCACCCATACAACACTATCCAAACCTAAACAGTTTTGAAAATCTAAATCAAGTGTTTTATAATCCTTTTGTGTTATAGTAAAAAATGTCCAGAATTTGAGTTTGAGCCTCTAATAAGTGAAACCAGGTATCGTTCTTGTAGAGTGAAATATTAGAAGGCTGTCTGACATTAATTAAAATGTAACACTAGTCGTAGCATGTCTCTGTCCTTTCAAGTTAGTTGATAACTTATTATAGTGAGTGAACCAAGACTGTATACAGTACTCCAAATGATGATGGATCTCATACAAGGTTACTGTAATTTCCTTGTTATTAGACCACTTGTATATGTGTGTGTGTGTGTGTATATATATATATATATATATATATATATATATA